GTCCAATGTTGCATCCAACCTCATAGTTGTGTAAGACTTCAAGCATATTGTTTGGCTCAGACTGTCAGATTGCGACCTGGGAACAATGCTGTGTTGCCTGTTGCAGGAGCAAGAGAAAAAGCGTCGTGGGCGTCCAGCTCAGGTGTCTCCGGTTCCGAAAAAGGAAACCTGCGTGTTCATCAGATAGTAACCCCAATACAACCCGTATCATAGTACTTTTGGTAACCTTAATCGAATCTCTTACTTTAACAACCTCCTTATGGGAACCCTTCATATGACTCGTTTGATCGGGCTCTCGTTGCAAACTGATCCTTTCAAGCACAGTGATAAACGCAGCAGCGGTTTAAACGACCGCGCCCGCAGTTAATAGTGGATCTTCACAGAGTCGTGCGAAATGCTGTGCTGTGGCCTGTTCGCTATCATGGTAATGCTGAGTATAATGCTTATAGTGATTGGCTTTGTCCTCTGGAACAGCGATTGTCTCCAAGTTCGGCCCATCGCCTGCAGTCTAAAGCACCCCCCCTTCCCCCGGCAACAATCTGCGTGTCGTCTGGTGATGGCATGGCGACGCTGCTGCTTTGACTTGACGTCATCCTCATTAATCGACTTATTCTGGCTTTGATGAAACTCGTAGCGCGATTAGAACATGCAGTAGTTGTTTCTTGCAGGTTGTAGGGGGGTTAGCTTCTAGCCCTTGATAATTTCTCATCCATGAAGAGGCTCCTCGCGGTCTCGTCATTTGAGACCGTGTTGACATCATCTCTGTTTGTATTTGCGAAAGTTTCTATATCCGGCAGTGCAGACCGTACAACGCCTTCACGACTATGACAGCTTAAGTTGTTAGGATTGTCGTAGATTTGACAATAGTGCACTTACCGTGCGACTTCATCGCAACCACACAAATGGAGAGACAGTATAGAAAGTATCCTCCTTGTGGCAGGCAGCAGCTCCGCATACATCGGCTGGGGGGCGTCGCAACCAGCTGCCACCACATAAACGTCCACGTCGAAATCCGCTGCGCAACCCGCTTCGCAGCCCGCCACGCAGCAACGTGCCGCGCAGCAACGCGCCGCGCAGCAACCCGCCGCGTGCTGCTACGTCTACATCCACGAGGTCGGAGACTCTTGAGTGACATGTTGTGAGACACTGGCCTTCGGAGGTCTTGCGCCATGCAGCAGTGGTTGTAGAAGATACGGTGTCAGTGACCGCCGTAGACTGTCGTAGAAGTATAATTTGTACTTGTTTTGCCTTATGTTCAACTGCAACCTCCAGAATCCATCGCAGGAAGCAGCAGCCGCCGAAGCAGACTGCGGCAGTATCCGCGGGGGCTTCCAGGCTCCACGCGCTGCATCTGAGCGGTTTCATGTGCTGAGGGAATACCTGCTTACGTGGTCATGTGCTGCTCAATATTGTGTTTGGGGCTCCTTTGACTTGCTCCTGGAGTTTGGTGCTCTTCTGCCGGGCTCCGCTAGGTTTGCAGTTTTGTCGCTGTACAGTCCTTCAGGATCAGGTTAGGACCTGCGACGGGCAAGTCGCGGAAAGATCAACTCGTGTTTCTTGCGTCAGTTGGAGTTGCATCATATAGTGTAGCAGCCGTATTTGATTCAGCGCATGATGGCGGCATGCGGCAAAAAAACAGTGAATGAAATCCCGAGTGTTAGACCTGGAACTCAGCCAACAAGGAGCATGTAGAAACATGCGACATATAGTCCTCAGGCCCCAGTCGCGTGGAGAAAGATTCCCCCGCACCTGTAGCTATTCACCGGATTCCTCCTCCAGGAAGCGAAAGGAGGCACGCGACGATGACAGAGGCCCCAGGCGCGGGAAAACCCTTTTGAATGAGGGTTCGCCTTGCAGCTGCGTGTCAATCCATGTCGGTATCATACAGAAAGCACTTCGCCTGCGTTTTGTAGTTTGCTGCAGCATACGATGCCCTTCCTGTTTCCTGCCCTTTACACAAACGTTTCGTACACGTGATGACATGTCGTTAGGCTCCTTAGTTTGACGTTCTGTCCTTCGCCCTGCGTCTTGCAATGCTCGTATGTTTCGGGAAGCTGTCTGATTGTTTGATGCAATGGTTGGGTTCTGTGTCTACCATATCCAGGTTGCAGCATAGTCTGACGGGGAGCACAGAGCATGGATGTGTGTATTCGGATTGGGTTCCCCAGAGTGCACATGTAAGGGCCGGGTCGGGGAGCGGGAGCTACATCCCCGTCTGATCGGTCCACATTCTACCTGTCATTATGTGCGCACCGCGACAGCTTGTTTGTTGTTTCTGGCTTCAAGATGTTTTGCACCTGCACAAGCAGAAACAACAGTTCTGGTGGCTGCGATGTGAGTTTTCACAGTGTGGGAAATCAAACCTGTGTCGTTTTCTTGGTGTTTTGCACCACTGGAGATACAGCATCTGCATGCTTGGAGGTGCAGGTGAAGCTGAGTAACGCCAAGAGTTTTCTTTTCCAACTTCGTAGCAACAGCGGCATAGTGCGCTACAGGTTTGCACAATGCAACATATTCTGCCCTAGACCCTAAGCCTGCGGTGCTTGCGCGGGCCGGGTTTGCGATGCAGTAGCCGAAGCACCCCTAAGCCCTTGAATAGTTGATAGCTACCTATATGGCATACTTTATGGCATCCGTTCTGGAGGTTGACCTGGAACTGGAACGATAACAGGTGCTTAGGGTTGTGGCTTTAGGGCTTCAGTACGAGATGTCTAGACCTTACTAGAAGAGCAGTAAGACCGTCAAGCGGCCCTAAATGCAGAAGCCCTGGCCCGCGAGCCAACTCTATGTTTTGCCGAACGAAGCCTTCAGGAAGAAGTATCGGTACGTGCAGGCCGAGACATATGCAAAGCCACTGGTCTCTGACTAGGGGGTTGGGGTTTACTTTATTGCTCCGGTCGACTCGATGTTGATCCAGCTTCTTTGTATATGGGTAGTTCTCTAAATTAGGGTCCCTTTTTGGGTCCCCAATATAGTACGGCACCCTTACAAAAAGGAACCCAAAAAGGACCCTAATTCAGAGAACCACCCATATGGTTCAGAGTGAAGGCTAACGGCTTCAGTCTGATAGGTCTTTCTTTCCACATGCTTGCATAACTTGTTCGTGGACTTCCAACTCGCCGAGACTTGTGTGGGATGGAAGTCATAGAGGCAGAGCACAGGGACGATCTGAGATTGGATCCTTGACCGAGACAGAGAAGCAAAGGACAATGCACGTAACCGCCATGTACTACGTATAGGACTTTCTACCACCGGCCTAGGTCTCCGTATCGCCCTTCGGTGGCTTCCTCAAAACTAGGAAGGCATTCTTGGTTTAACTGCCCAGATCATCCGAGACTGCACAGTGCTCTCAACTACGGGCCTGGGCTGAAGCAACTAGGCTCACGTCCAAACAGAAGAAGATGCTCCTGCAGCATTGCCCATATTTGGCGCGCCTGGACCCTGGCTGAACGGGTTTGTTCGGTGCTCGTGCTGTGTTCTACGAACACTTGAGGCGCTTCAGATTTATGTATGCTTCCGAAGTCAGTCCGACCATCCGTCGGACTAGTAACCTCGGAACCAGGGCCGGACAGTGTTTGAGTGTTTGGTTTCTGTTGGAGGCCAGCCCTGCAAAGAGTGGGCTGGGGGTTCAGGGTTCAGGATTTGGGCCTTCTTCACAAATGCCTTCGATGCTTCTGGAACTCCAGCAAACATGTAACACGGTGTCATGCTCGGCCTGTCTCTGGCTAACTTTGAGCCCCTGCAACCCTCTAATAACCTAAAGCCCTATAGATCCAAGAAACTCAAAATCCCAAAGCCCTACATCGAGGAACCCCGAAACCCCAAAACAAGACATCCGTAGATCGCAAATCAAGAAACCGGGAGAATAATCAAGAAAGAGTCGGGAGAAAGCAGGTAGAGATTCCACGCCCACGTGCCGAGGTTAGATGCTGCAGCGGCCCTGGGATGAAACCAGTACAGCTTGAGAATGGCCTTGCAGCCATCCTCACATGAAAGACAAGCGTGATGCTTCAAGAGACCATGAGTGCTTCACAGACTCATTAGACTGTGCAGCGGCCCTGAGATGAAACCAGTACAGTGCAGCTTGAGAATGACCTTGCCGCAACCCTCAGCTGAATGACAAGCGTGATGCAAAAAAGACAATGGGTCGGCGTGGAGCTTCTTGCAATGGTTCATTCTCGGCAGTTACTATATGGTTGACTACTTCTTTTCGGTATTTCCGAGGCTTCTCTGCGCTCCTGAAGGAAAACTAGCTTCCTGAGTTGTGCATTCCACCCTTGTGTTGCAGGAGCCATCTCAATCTGATGTTCGAAGTCAGGTAATAACTGGGCCTCGACTTGGGGTACACAGCCAGAGAAGCCCCACCCCTTGAGGCTCTTCAACCATAAACAACCACAGACATATAGATGTCTTCAATGCTACAGAGTGCTGCTCCCTAAGGCCCTAATCCCTAAACCCCTCAACCCTCAACCCACGAGATGTACGCAAGCAGACAAGTCCGTTTGGTGCTTGCTCGTCTATCTCAGGCCTGGAAGTGAAACTATTTAAGGACAAGGCACACCGTGTCGTGGCATCTTAACAAACATACATATGCATTTATGTGTTCATGTGTACACACACGCAGATGTGTGTGTGTGTGTATATAGCTGTATATATATATATACAGCAGATTCACCACCTGCTGCAGGTCTTGCCACCGCGGTTTATATGTTGCTACGGCTGTCAGCACCTTTACTACAACTACAATTCCTTCGAGCCGACACCTCAAGAACCATTAGCAAAACTAACTAGTAGCCACATGTATAGGAGTAGTCTCATGCTGGACCCTATGTAAACCCTAAGACCCTTTCGCCCTAAACTTTAAGCCGCCTACCGGCATCCACAAGCCCCTAAAATCCATCCAACCAAGAGCAAAACTCAAGACCCCTTAAGACCCTTAACCCCAAATCCAAGAAGCCTGGGTATGATAGCCCCGGGTTTCAAGTTACCTGCCACGGCAGGCCGGAGTCTGCTGTCGGGAGTGGGGCTCAGTAGCATTCCTTCTTGGTGTGCCTTGGCGACCCATTTTGAGTTTAGGGTTAGCGGTTGAGCTTTTTGGGTTTGGGCTGGGGTTTAGTCTTTAGGCCTGGGTTGGGGCTCAGAGTTCTTGGCTCATTGTTTCGGGCAGACATTATTAGCTTTGGCTTCGGGGGGATGTATGGCCAGGGTGGCTTGAAGATTTTCTCAGATTTGCAGACAGTTATCGAGTTTGTTAAACCCATACATCTTGAACATGTTTGAGAGCCTACTATGCTTAGTTACAGTGGTTTGAAGTTTTAGGGTCTACAGGGTTCACCAAAGACCAGCTCGGCCCCAGGAGCTCAGCTGTGCTTCATATAGGGGCCTCTTCAAAATTACCAATACTATTTCGGAGATTCCTTACTGTAAGTATGGTACAATGTGCCCCAAAACCCTATTTAATTTATAAGGCCCCTACATTACCATGTCGTGTTTCGGATTCAGGGCCTGTTTAGGGCTCTCTGCTGTAGGGTTATGATCATATGGTAGCTTCAAATTTGGCTGTTGGATGTAGCATGACTGGAGACTCCGGCAGCATTGAAACGCCTCAGTTCTTCCGTCCCAACCTCAGCTCCCTCGTCAGCCAATCATAATAGTATATGATAGCATAACATACCCCAAAACCCTATTCGCATTAAGGCCCCTATAGTCATCAGTCGGAAGGATCATGCCAAGAGCATAGCATGCACGACGGCTGCAAGGATCCTGGGAGGACACGTTGTTCTAGCGAGCGTAAGAGAGTCAGAGCGAGCGAGCGAGCGGCCGAGTTCCCGAAAGCTCCGAACCACAGGGTGCCCCTTACGTAGTGGCCGGTCTTTTTTTTACAGACCCCTTATGCCCGAACGAAGGAGAGAAACATACATGAGGCAAGCCCTACAACGTGCTCTCTACCGGCGAGAAGCACCTTGCGGCTTAATGTCTTCAGTTTCAGTCGAAAGGTTGAAGTGCCCGCGGAATTGCCTCGACAGCCTCAATATCGAGGTTTGTTAAACTTAGCCTTTTTTTCAGGAGTCCTCATATTCCTCATGTAAATTGTGGCTTGAACCAGTGTGGGTTTCTGCTGGCGTCGCTCAGTCTCTGAAACTCCGGTGTGGTAGATTAAGTAGACCATCACCGACACCCAAGAAGGCTGTGTTTGAAATTTGAGGTCTGTGTTCTTCCCCTTTTGTAACTGAACTCTACACCATGCAACCTAGACCGTACACCCCACAAGCTAGATCCGATCAGGTACCGAGCCAACCTCGCCCGAGCACTGGAGAAGCGCGGTCCCACGCCCCTCGTTTTCGACGAGCCATGTGGCAGCAGCTAGAGTTCGTTTGCGGTTCGGGCTTCTTTCGGCTCCAGATCCCGAGGTTAGGAAGCTCGGCTGTTCAGACTTTGCTGTGCCAACATGGAAGCTTGCCCAGCTCAGCGTCGAGACACACCTTTACCTACATGCATGTATACACATATTTCTTTTGAGAGAGAAGGTAACGGTCATGTTATTTCATATGTCTGTATGTATGTAAGTAAGTATGTATGCATGCATGCATGCATGCATGCATGCATGTATGTATGTATGTCTGTATGTAGGTATGTATGTACTTATGTGTATGTATGACTACCTGCATATCTGCACGTACGTATGTACGGTTGCGTATGTCCCTGTATATGTCTATATGTATGTATATGTGTGTGAGAGTGTGTGCATATGTGTATATGTATATGCATGTACATGTAAATGTACGTATACGTCTATGCATATGTCTGTGTATCTGTATATGTGTGTACATATATATATATATATAGACATGAACTCATATGTACAGAGGTCTATGCTTATATATATATATATGTGTGTGTGTGTGTCCCTGTGCAAGACCCATAACACCTTTCTTCTCCCCGAACCCTGAGCCTTGAGCCGTATCGTGATGCTCGCATGTTTCTTGTTGATCATGTCCTCCTCCAAAATGCCTCGCCGTCCGAACGTCAGTGCTGACACCCTCAGGAGACTCAGCCCTAATTCCCAACACCCGACACTTTCATTTTAAACCTGCAATCCCCTAACCACAAGAACCTGAAGTTCTGATTCTGAAAAAACGTTAACTCAAAGCCCTAGGCCCTAAAACTCTTGCAATTTTCAGGCCCTATACCCTTACTTTAAGCCTTCTGGACCCCTCAAAAGGGAACCCTTATATATCCCTGAAAGGGAGCCCGAAACCCGCTCTTTTCCTAAAAGCTAAGCCTAAACCCCAAAACCCTTAACTTTAAACCCTGTGCTTGGCAGGTGGACCAGCGAGCTGGACCGCGGCCTCGCCAAGGCTTGGACACTCATGGCGCGGTCGAATAATCCGTAGCAATATTCCTTATAGGGCTCCTTCTCATGTTTATGATTTTAGTTCTTGTGAGTTTATCATTGTAATTACAATGATTATTGTTATTACTCTTGTAGTGATTGAGGATGGCACGACAGAGAGAGAGAGAGCGAGAGAGATTAATCGTGTATGGTAAAAGTTTCTATATTGTGTATTTCATCGTGTTGGCGGTTGCTGTGTAAACATGTGCATATTCAATTGTAGACTACGGGTAGCGTTGTTTCAGTTCCATGAACATGAATACTAACGCCATAGGTGTTAGCGTCGTTGTTGCAAGTCGTTGCGCCTACGCTCCGTACGATTACCAGCATGACTGGTACAGGCATTATGTTTTTAATTGTTGTTTTCATTCTCACTAATACCAATCTTGTTTGTAATGATGGTGATGGTAGTAGTAGTCGTCGTCGTGTAGAAGCAGCAGGAGGAGGTAGTAGTCGTCGTCGTCGTCGTCGTCGTCGTCGCAGAAGTACTAGTCGTAGTCGTAGTCGTAGTCGTCGTCGTCGTCGTCGTCGTCAAAGTACTCGTAGTTGTAGTGGTCGTCGTCGTCGTCGTAGTAGTAGTAGTAGTAGTAGCAGCAGTAGTAGTAGTAGTAGTAGTAGGAGTAGCAGAAGTAGCAGCAGAAGGCAACAGGCCATAGTGGGGAAGCCGAAATACCGGTCAATCTCATTCACTAGGGGTCCCGATTACTGTTTGACGACAGTGTACCCCAAACCTTTGTTTCAGTTATCAAGGCCCCGATAGTAGGTGCGCACAAGCATAGGAGAAAGCTCCGGCAAAATCTCTAGACCTTCTAACCTGCACGGAAAGTGCAGTTTCCATGTGCCTACAGGTTGTCTCTACTGCTCTTGGGAAGCGGATGAGCTCGCGACCCAGTCTGGTTAGCCCAGCCATGGTATCACAGGATAGGGTGTGCGGCGCAGGGCCTTGGTTGCGTCTTCCATATCAACATCAACACGTGAAGCCATGCAGCATGCTGCGACGCTCAGCATCAGGCCTTGTGCTGTGTATCTAGCAATTACCTGTTGGCCTTGTCCTATCTTGGTACTAGTATGTAGATTTGTCGTCTCTGAAGTAATCTTCCTACTTTTGTCTTGTCGCGCTAGCTGAATATTGCTTTCTTGCACTGAGGGTCTTGAACGACGCCGCTGGTACACTCTGATTATCTTCCGGAGATCTTATCAACCATAAGCCCTGAACCTCTAAACCCCAGCTCCTAGCCGACTCCTCAACCGAAGCCCTGAAAGCCCTCAACCCCAACAGCACATGTTAGGCACCCTCACTCCCGAAAGCAAAAGAGACGCCAAGGCCGTGAATGCGAGAAAGCCACAGAAACTAAGGCCAAAGCAGGGTTTGTAATTAACCGACCAAGGTGTCTATACTTTCCAAGGCTGTAGACCTCCAGCCCTAAAGGCCTTGAGCCCTAAAGCTATAAAGTCAGACTTGCAAAGAGAAAGCGTACTTCATGAGGTGCTTTCGTCAAACTAAGGGGAGTCTATAGTATGATAGAAGATTCTCAGGGGGGTTTTCCAGGCTTCCTGTAGTGTCTTTGAACCCGGCGATCTTTTCTTGGAATGTCCTTAGAACCAGGGCTTTCGGGCTTTAGGCTGGTATTCCCAGCCCGAAGCGGCGAGCTTCCCCAGCCAGAGGTGGGTTGAATTTAGAATATGTGCTTCAGGTCATGTAGCGATGTGGTGCTGTAGCAGCTGAAGTGCCTCCCGGTGACATGTGCTAACTTAACCTTGCGAAAGTGTGTTGCGGGCATCCCTAACCCGACTCTTCGCGTCGTTATCGAACGTGTGTCTTTCACTTTCACTTGCCGTCTCTTTCTTCGGCTTCTGCTGCCCAGCCGCTCATTAGCAGGGCAGGGTTTTGGCAAACATGGTTTAGGGCGTAGGGGTAGTACGTGGTGCTTTTTAATGTGGCGACGGGATACTAAGTAGTCCCAAGTATCCAGACGTCGATTTGCATATATCGTCCCATTTCGAGAGTCCTCAGTAGTACAACTGGCGTATCACCACCAACCTTGCATGCGAATGTGATGTCCGACCCAATCCCAAGCTCATAGGCTACATAGGAAGCTCTGAACTCTGAACTGTCAAAAGAGGCTCAGCACCCGCCTGAGATCAAAGAAGAGATCAAAGAAGAGGACTGCCGGACGGAGGAGGACGAGGACAGACAGTGCAGCCGGGTAGTGTTGAAGAACCTCTGCAAACAGAGTCGAGAACTCTAAACCTTGAAGCCCTGAACCCAAACGGCCCGGAAGTAAGTCCAGAATCGCAAACAGCAGCCTACAAACTCGGCTACACCCTATTCTCCTACACGGCTTAGTTATGCTATCACTGGAAGCCGCCCTCACGCGGCCAACACAGGGACAGATCCAGAACTTGCAACGGGTCTGTAGTCTCGGGCACTGGCAGCTGGGAAGAACTATAGAGCCCTAAATCTAGGCGCTAGCATCTCGAGGGATCTCAGACCTCAACTAAAGCAGCAGCTCAGCGTCTAACACCGCCACAGCACTTGCCAGATGTCAAATCTCTGCTCTACACCCTCAAATCCCAAGCTCAACAATCTCCGACTAGACCCCAAACCTTCAACCCCAAACCCTAAACACGACCTTACTTTCATTGAAGATCTTCGGACATCCCCTCCGACCTGACCCGAGTCATGCAATCTACAGAATAGGATGGTTGGGTTAGGCTTTAGGGTTTTAGGCTATACAGCTTGCAAGAGTCCTGGATGCAAAAAAGGCTATACAGCTTTAAAGTAGGAATAGAGTTCGAGTTTTAATTACGAAGGCCCAAGATGGACTCAAGATGTTTGTTCCAGACTTGTTTTTCGATTTGATCCCTTGAGGCCTTTAATGTGCTTTGGGTTCAGCATTTGGGGTCCGAGTAGTTGGGAATAGCCAGGGTGGTATTTAGGGTTTCACTGGGTTCTGCTATCAGGTTGCAAGATAGGGGTCTGAACGATGAGTAAGCGTTTTTTTCCGTATGTTCCTGCATAAGTATAGTATAGCGCACACCATAAACCCGAGTATAAAGGCCCGCCTATAACCATTATGAAGCCCGCATATCAAGAAGTACGAAACGCAACTAGACTAAAGACCCTATAATGTGGCACCTTTAAGCAAGCACCAGGAAAGCGAAAAAACGGGCCTTATGCAAGAGGTCTAAGCTTGTTCAGGGGTCGGTCCGGGTTTGGGCTCGACAAAAGGCTGTAGTTTTTCTTGGTTTAGGGTTTCGGGCAGAGGGAGCTCCCGGACGACGCCGCAAGCCCGCTTTGTGTTTGGGGTTTATGGGGCTTCAAAGGCTTAGGGGCTTCGGGGCTCGTAAGCTACGTGGTTGGTTTTGGGGTGGTGTTCCTGATTCCGGTTTCGACGGGAGCTATGGAGTACACTCGGAGAGAAAAGGCTGATTCTAACATGGTTTGCTGGCAAATCCACAAACTCATGCGATGCCAGCATCAGCAGTTGCATCAGTCTGAGTCCTGCGGTTTGGACATCGGTTTGAAGCACGACTTCAACTTTCAACAGGGGTTTCAGATTCCTGGGTGGACAGCATTCTCAGGCTTTACGGTTTTTGCGTGTGTGGGTTAGGGTTTAGCGTGTTGGGGTCTTGGGTGCTGCTGAGGTTTTTTGTCATTTTACGTAGTCATGGTCTAGAGCTTTGCGACCTAGTCCTCAGGGCTATGGGTCTACCTGAATATCATGGTGACGGCTTTAAGGTTTCGAGGGATTTAGGGTTTATAAGGGCCCCGGAATTGTTGGTTTCTTTGTGAGACGCGGAGCGGGTCTCCGGTCTTGTGCTGCTGTGCTGCTGTCAGCAGATTCCAGACCGCAATATCCGGCGACTTCAACCCCACATGGTTTGGAACTCTCGTTCGTGTATAATTTGAGTACGCCGTTCTTCTCATGCATAATACCGCAAACCCCTAAAGCCTAAACCCCTATAACCCTCCTTCTGACTCTGATCTTGAAGCTAAGCACCGAGAGGAGAACAATGAAGAGGCCTTCAAGGATGAAGATGCAGAAGAGCAAGGAACGGAAGAAGTGGAGGCCGAAAAGGACGATGCCAAGGCGCGAGCGATCGCTACTTCGAGTTAGGCTGAACATGTGTTTAGAGTTTAGGGGTTACAGAGATGAGGGTGAACATGGGTTTAGGGCTACAGGGATTAGGGATGACATGGGTCAGCTTTCCGTTCTTTGCCTACTCCTGCTTCGCCCGAGCCTTGCGCAGCCACCGTCCACCCCTTCCGCCCCTGCCCTAATCACTTCGCAGGCTCTCGCTAGACATGCAGGGGAGAGTAGGCCTCGACGCATAGGCGATGAGTAATTGAAGCACGGGAGGGCCCTCTCAGTACCCTAAACGCCCATACCTACTATATAGGGCCCTAGGGGCTCTAGTACCCTATACAGTACCTGGGGGGTTAGGGGTATATATGTTTGCTAAGTGACAGTCTGTTCGCTCTGAGTGAAGGGTACCATGACCCTGAGTTCTAAATGCCTTAACCTCCGAACACTAGTCCGTTGCAGTTAGGTACACACTGGGATGCCGTAGTCGCCAGTGGAGAGCCACTTAGAACATGATTGTGCTTGAGCAGCCCAGAAACAAGCCCTAATTCGACCAATTCTGCGGTATGCAATTGGAACATGCCGTTAAAGACCGGAAACAAGGACAGGTTTGACACACTGAACAAGGATCAGAATTCTTGGGGTCTCTAATGGAAGCACTTCCTTAAGCTTTAAGCTTCCGTCCCTACGAGCCTAAGGCTCGAAACTCCACCCTTAAACTCTAATCATTGGCAGCCCTTGAGCTGGCATCTGGGAGTCTGGGTATGAAAAACTTGTTAACTTGAATGTCTGTTTATAGCATTCTATAGCCCTGGTGGTCGTACTTGTGACGCAACATACCCCGCATAGGAGCCTGAATTGTCATCCATACAAAGTGCCCTTGCATCCTAGCTCATGTTACGGCTGTGGCGTGTAGTATCCATGCTTTCGCTGCCTGACACACTGTCGAAACCCTAAACCCCAAGCCTCGAAACTCTGAGCCGAAAGCCCTTTCGACTCGAGTCACGAGTGCATGTGCTTCAATCGCACCAGGAGGACTGCGGTTTGGCCAACAGCGGAGGGGAGGAGGAGGAGGCCCTGGCCGGGGCAGCATTTTTAAGACATTCAGGGTATAAACATCATGGTAGAGTCAGCACAGACAGTGTTGGCATGCCTACGTGCATACGTACATACCAAGAAAATCGGCAAGCAAAAAAACCAAATGCAGATGCATGCATGTTGGATGCGTGCAAAAAGGTAGTGTATTTTGCGAGTTTGGTGCACCGGACAGAGCTTTTGGAGGTATCGGCATTCAAGCAGTCTAGAATCAGTCAACAGGTGACCGAAGCAGCAGGAGTCTCAAAAGCCGGCATCACGCACTTCAGCTCTGGTGTCTTTGTGCCAGGGTGTGCGGGACGAGGTGGACGAGACGCTGGAAGAAAATAGCACGGCAGCACCCACACGCGCCACTTGCCACGAGGAGTCCTCAATCTGCAGCTACTCCGATTGTTAATGTTATCATGAACAGACTGTTTGTCAATGCGACTGCAGGTGTATATAGTATGCTAGATATCCTAGTCTGCAGTGATTTATCAATGACCCTTCCCTGGTGATTGCAACAAGGCTTAGACTTCGCGACGCCAGTTCTCCTGCTTGAAGCTTTGGGGTTTTAGGGCTGACAGATTAGCTCGTAAAGTCATGAGGATTGTGCTTACTTAATCGTTTCCCCCTATTATTAAAGGGCCCCCCCTCCCTAATATTAAAACTGG